TTGTTTCTGGTTGAAATATTCAAAATGGATGAAAATGTATAACAGAGACCGTGAATAACATGATCAAGATGGACGAGGATCCAGCAGACCCCTTGTGTGTGAATGAGATCGGGGTCTCCGATGTTATGAGAAATGAGTTTCTATTAAAGCCCAGTTTTTGTTACTTTTTCTTTCCTGGTGTTTGGCTTTCTACCATATAATGGGAAATTAGTAGAAACACATTGAAAACATCATTGTGAACAGGTGCGTGATTCAAGCAGCCGATGTTTAAGTGACAGCTGAAGCATGAAAGCGAACACTAGCAGATAAATGTGTGTGTAATTTTAGAGTTAATAATCATGTTGCATAATTTTCTTTGGAAGAAGAGTTTATAATAACATTTTCTAAAAGTGCCAAGCAAAGTAATTACACACTTGGCAAGCCATAAAAACTAAACAATTTGGCAAATGCCTCATTAACCAAGTTCTCAGGTCAATACAAGGTTTTATTTTGTTTAAAACAGGAGATTAATTTTTTAAAATAGGGCCTACTTCTTACTTGTGGTTTCCTCATTTTTCTTGTAATTACAATTTTATTTACTAATATAATGTTTTAAAATGTGATTCTTTCTTAAAAGTCAACGTGGTCAAAAGGAAGACAGACCCTTCATTCACGGATATCAAATAGAGCTGATTCTAAGAAGTCCCAGAAACCACCACACTTCGGTTCCTATTCCCAAAGAGCCAGACTCATTATTTTCATCTTCATAGAGGCAGGACTTCAACATTTTAGTAGAATAAATTTTTGACGGGCATTTAGCTAACAGCTACAGAAATCATTTTGAAGCCAAAGGCATCATTTTGCAAGCCCATTCATATTTTTGGAAAGTATTGCAAGGGGTCCTACTTTCTGGGTTATATTACTGGGAGGTCCTGAGAATGTGGAAGTCTAAATAATTCTTCGTATAAATTACATGGATCCACCAGTCCTCTTTCAGGAAGCTTCCATTTATACTGGTACACTTGCTAATCAGCACCAGCTGGTAGCCAATTAAGTAGCAAGCCTGGGAGCACAGCCGGGATGGATGGGGGTGTGAGTCAGAGGGGTCTGGCTGCCCTTCATTGATTGATTTGGTTGGTTGCCTACCAAGAGAGTTCGCACACATTTAAAACTATCGTTAAATAAATTCGGTGCATTTTTTAAAATTATTCATTTTTATTAAGCTATTCTGTATTATTAGTTTCTGAGGTAGAGTTCAGTGATTCATCAGTTGCATACAACACCCAGTGCTCATTCCATCAAGTGCCTTCCTTAATGTCCATCACCCAGTTACTCATGCCACCCCCACCTCCCCTCCAGCAACCCTCAGTTGTCTTCTAGAGTTAAGAGTCTCTTGTGGTTTGCCTCCCATTTGTTTTAAATTTCTTACAAATGCAAAGTAAAGCTAAACAACACGTAATGTCGTCATTTAGAATATGTGAAATAATAAAAGTCACAACCATACCTATTCAATCCCCTTTCATAGGTGGTAACTCTTTCTGTTTGATCCCCAACGGACTTTCCAGAATTTTTCTTAGGTTTTATGAAGTCTAGTCTATTCTTTAAAAAAATATAAGTATACTATATGTGCTGGATCACAGCTTTTCTATATCACTTCACACTATAACTTAGCACATTTACACATCAATCCATAAAGATTCTTCTTTTTAAAGGATCCTAGGATTTTGTTCTATGGACATACCATCACTTATCTACGTATACCCTATTGAAGGGCCTTTATGATCCATCTGTTTTAGGCACTTACTACTGCAAAAACTCCTTTGGGTATACATCTTTGCCTGCTAAATTGTTATTTCTGTAACTTAGACATCAAAAGTAGGATTCCTTAATCAAAGGGTTATGTACATTTTAAATTTTGACATATTTAGCCAGATCACTCTTCAGAGAGGTTGAGCCGATTTACATTCATGCCAACAGTGTATGAAAGCACCCACGTCTCTACCACCCCAGCATCTCTGAACATTATTGATCTTTTGTTCTGCTATTCCATAAGCAATAAAGGTATTTAATTGAAGTTGTATTTTGCATCTAATTACTGGTAATGTGTAGAATCTCCCCATGAGTTTATTGAGTTTGGCTCTGTTTCCTGGCCCAAATAAGTGGATCAACAGATTTTTCTAAGATTCAAATTATCATTATTAATACTATATTGATTATGATAATTAATGACACAATACTCGCTAACAATGAGTACTTGTACATTTCATCATTGACTCTTCATGACTATTGCTTACTCATTTACTCATTCAGTAAGTGTTTCTTCAGCACCTACTCTGGACCACGCCATGTCATGAAGATGACACGGTCAATGACGAAACAGGCCCATGGCCTTATGGCAGTGGACGCCGGCCACCTTTCCACTAAAGATGGACAGACTGTAGCCTACGGGTGTGGAGTAGTGCGCTCAATGGTACATGTCTAGCAAGTTGGGAAGTCAGGTATCAGGACCCAAGTTTGTAACATCCATCCTCTAAAACATACAAACAACCATGTTTGCTTTTCCACGGTGAAAACTATTTTTAGTTACTATGTAGTACCCCACTCAGAATTAAATTAAAACTAATTAAGCCCCAAATTCATATGTGGGAAGGGATGATCCCTTGCTAAAATAACGTTTGTTTTTATGTTTCAATTTATCTCATCGTTACCTTATCTGTGCCTTGGTTCCCAAATGTCCAATATGAGTTATGGCCTCTTCCTATTATAATAGCAAAAAAAGCCAACAGGTGACCTCTGAAAATCATGTTTGAAAACAGATAAGTGCATTTAAGTATAATTGATTGCACAAGTAATAACACCCAAAGTGATTACACAGTCTAGTACTTACAAAAGTAATTACACTTCAGAAAATCAAAATTAATTTGTACACTTCTGATGCACTTTTAAGGCTGTTGACATTTTATTGTAGTGCTTCTAATGAAATGAAAATTATTAATAATTGTTCCTACTTGAGTGTGACAAATGTCATTTGGCTGGAAAGGCAGAAGCACCACTGAGCACTGCCAAATTATAATGTTGTTCAAAGTTGGGGGTGGATATTAATATTCAAAATGGTATTAAGCATCTGTGTAGCCAGTAGCAGCTGATAGACCATATATCCTGAAATGGATGTGTATGGATGTCGACATAATTTTCTCCTCCTCTTTAATGGCCAGGCGATTAGATGGGCAAAGGACCACAGGAAGCATGAGCGTGAATCATGCTGACACACCTGTGGTACGCAGGAGGTCACTAAGCAGATGGACACAGCATGAGAAAACCTTCTTTAGCTCAGCCATCACCAGTGATCCCATGGGCTCTTCCGCAAGATACATTTGGAGAACGATTGTTAAAACCACAGGCGCCAGGCGACAAATGGAGACTCATCAGCATGCATGGTCCACTTAACAAATCTGAAATTAGTCATTTCCAAAGAAAAGTAAAGCCAGGGGTTCACAGATGGGTTTTAATGTAAACAAATAAAATAAAAATTAAATTAAGCAAGCTACTCAGTTTAGAGGGACATACAAGATAGTCTTGTATGGATCTATTCAGGGGTGCCCTGGACCTTAGGCCAATACTCTTTGTTTTTTTCTTTCCATTGTGGTAAAATACACAGAGCATCAGAGTTACCATTAGTGACACTCAGTACTTTCCCTTTGATGAGCAACCATCTCTCTAGCCAGTTCCAGAACTTTCCATCACCCCGAAAAGAAACCCTGCATCCTTTAACTCCCTCCACATCAGCCCCAGGCAACCACCAATCAACACTCGGCCTTTGAGGACGTGCCCACTCTGGACAGGTCCTATAAAAGGAGTCATACCATCAGTGGCCTCTGGCGCCTGGCTTTTGTCTCTCCGCACACTGTTGCTGAGATTTATCCACGTCACAGCACCAGTCAGAGCGTCATTCTTCTCTATGGCTACCATTCCGTTGTAGGAATATTCCACAATTTGCTAATACTTTCATCAGGGGATGACACCTGGGTTGCTCCCACCTTTTAGCTGCTGTGAACCTGTGTGTACAAGTTTTTGCCTGAACACTGCATCCGGTGCCGACACTTTCAGGTGAAAGTCCTCACGGAGACCAAGGGGGTGCGGAGGCTATGTGCGTTCCTGCCGTCCCGGTCTTTGCCCTCAACGTGCAAGAGAGGCGGCCTTTGGCGGGAGGCTCCGTGTCGCCTGCCCTTTCAGCCTCAGCTCAGCGCGGATGCTTTGCTCTGGCAGGCTTCCCAGCTTTCCGAGCACACATGGAAAAGCCTAACGTGGCCAACATGTGACACTGGTTTCCTCCATCGGTGACGTCATGATTCTATCATGAGAAAGGGTCCGTCCCCAGGGAGGAGCTCAGGCTTTGGATTAGAGTACAGGGGACTCACTCCACACTCGCTGCCCACCCACCAAGGACTTCAGTCCAGCAAATGAGCCAAGTCACTGAGTTTAAGACTCGGCAAGGGGTTTGGAGGCCCGTGTTGGAGAAGGGCATGGAAGTGCCCAGAGAGACAGGACGTCCGGCTGGGTTCTGTAGCTATGATAGAAGGCAGCCCACGTTTATCGACGGCTTACAGAGAGAGAGCCGCTGTGCCAGGTGGTTTCCAAATGTCCTGGTCTGGGCTTCTCAGCGCCCAGGGGTGCAGGTGCTTCGGTTCCCCTTCTCAGAGGACAGACTGAGGGTCAGGACTGTAAAGCTGACACAGCTAAGGGGGGACCCTGCTGGGATTCAAACCCAGGCCCCAAACCTGCGTTACCTTCGTGGTATAGGATTCTAAACCCCACAAAGCTCCCCAAGGTAGGCTGTGAGCCCCTGGCTATGGGCTTCCTCACCCTGTGGGTCTACTCACGCCATGTGCAATCCCCATCCTTCCACCCCAGCCCGCCGCACACTGGGAAAGTGAGTGTGGCCCTCCACGACCCACCCCTCCATGGAAAGACCCCTCACAGGACCCTTTCTACTAGTGATGACTGAGGGCAACGGGCAGCCGGCAGCCCACATTGCACCCCTGCTCAAGGCAGATTAAATCCTCCTATGTACCCACTTCCCTGGGGACAAAAGCCCAAATCCTTGCCATGACTACAGTAAATGCTTGTTTTGTCCCTTGCCTCACCTCACGTTACCCACCCCCTCCCTGGATTTCTTTCAGTTTCTCAGACACACATTGTGTGCCTTTATAAATAATTAAATTCTTTTTTTAAGTCTGTAGGTGCCTATTCACTGCTGAGATACCAGCCATGGAAGAACAAGAATACCCCCGTATGCACAGTTTCTAGTACACAGTAGGTGCTTACAAAGTACTGCTGACTGAATACACATAACATATAAATAGGATGACCATCTGCTCTGGGGAATGAGGGGGAAGGGGTTCCCAGGATGTGAGGCTCTCAGTTTCAAAACCAGGACACTTCCAGACAAACCAACACACATTTCCGGAGCACAGAATTTTCAGTGTGAAAAGCAGGAAAGCGCTGGGCTTTTGCCATCCCACATACAAGGATCTCCACGATCTAGCTTCTGCTAATTTCCACCCCTGATCCTCCACCATTTCCTCCCCCTTTCCCGATATATCAACCACCCAGCCTCGGACAGCTCCCGACCCTGCCTCCGTGTCCTGGCTTGGGATGCCTCCCTCTCTCACGGAAAAATTGCTACGGATCCTTCAACACTCACGTCTGATGTCACCTGTTCTGTAGGATGGAGCTGACTTCCCACGTGTGACCCACTGCTCCCTCCACGCTTCCCTGTGCCTCGTGTCTCAGCTCCAGTGCAGCCCGACCCCAGGCACAGGATGCGCATCTGCAGCCTGGTCTCCCCTTCAGACTTCATGCTCCAGGGGAGTGTGGGCACCCGCCATCTCCACCACGCCTACCGCAGTCCTGGGGTGCAGATGGACTCGGGAAGTGGCCACCGAATGAACAGGAAACACGAGGGTGTCCCAGATGGCAGGAGCGGGACTGCATGGGCTCTTAGAAGACCTGGGGGTGCTGGCTTGGCACTGCATTCAAACTGACCACCACTTGCAGCCTGGTAACGGGCCCATGAGGCCAGCATCGTGGTCTGTGTCAGGATTCTCCAGGGAACAGAACCAACGGGATACATGTGTTTAGAGAGAGGGTACGGGGGAGAAAGAGAAACAGAGCAAGACAAGTTTTAAAGGAACTGACTCATGGGACTATGGAGCCTCAGGGAGCCAAAAGCAGCAAGGAACCAGCAGGCTGGAGACCCAGTTCACACCCAAAGGCAGTCTGCTGGCAGAATTCCTCCCTGCTTGGGAGAGGTCACACTGCTCTATCAAGGTCTTCAACTGATTGGATGAGGCCCACCTACATTACGGAGTGTAATCTGCTTTACTCAAAATGCACTAATTTAAATGTTAATCTCATTCAAAAACACCCTTAGAGAAATATCCAGAATAATGTTTAACCAAATATCGGGGCGCTGATCCATGTCGACACATCCAAATTGACACATAAAAATGGACCATCACACATTTCCAAACTAACATGTCCTTCTATTTCTGGGTCAGGAGCTCAACTTAGGCAAGTGGCCACATCAGTGGTGCCATGTGGAATCCCTCCCACGTGGGCTGGCCCACAACAGTGGACATTCCAGAGACATGCATGATCTTCTGCAGACTTACCCAAACTCTCCCTAGAATATCTGGCATCTCCTGGCAGTTTCTCAGGGATGCGGAAGCATTATCCCAGTTACTCAAGGAATTCATCCAGAGTTCTTCTGGCTGGCCAACATTTCCTTGAGAAGAAGCGTGCTCATCAGCTCTTTCCCTGCTGTTTACTTTGTCCTGAGCAATAGTCATGGTAATAAACTAATTATCCAAAGAAAATCAATACCGCTCTGTGTTGACATTATCAGATAAGAACACCGTTAAAAATGTGTAACATCTCTCCAACTAGGTGTTCTAATGTCGGCTACAGTGGGGTGGCGTTTATTGGCACCGTGGGGGCTACATGGCAGGCAGAGTGTTTTCCTGGGCTGAGCAACTGTCTGGAAACAAACAAGCAGACAGACAACCATTTGTTTAAACCATTAAGATCCATCAATTGAATCCAGGGAGCCTTTGGCTGACACCAAAAGTGATTAGAAAGCAGCCAGTGGCTCTGGACCCTGAAAAGCTAGATTTCTCTGGGATTTCCCTTATGACCCAGGAGAACTCCCAAAGCCCTTACACCTCAGTGGCTTTTTCTGCAACACAGATGTTTCAGTACCTGCTTGACGAAGTGTTCATGGTCACTGGGTGGGATGACTTCTGTGGGAGCTTCGTGACTGCCCTCCTTACTCGCCTCCTGACACAGAGTCAACCTAAATGTGACTGATGGGGCGCCTGGGTGGCTCAGTCGGTTAAGTGTCTGCCTTGGGCTCAGGTCATGATCCCATCGGGTTCCCTGCTCAGAGGGGAGCCTGCTTCTCCCTCTCCCACTCCCCCAGCTTGTGTTCTCTTTCTGTCAAATAAATAAATAAATAAAATCTTTAAATTAAAAAAAAAAATGTTTTGGGCACCTGGGTGGCTCAGTTGGTTAAGCGACTGCCTTCGGCTCAGGTCATGATCCTGGAGTCCTGAGATCGAGTCCCACATTGGGCTCCCTGCTCGGCAGGGAGTCTGCTTCTCCCTCTGACCCTCCTCTCTCTCATGCTCTCTGTCTCTCATTCTCTCTCTCTCAAATAAATAAATAAAATCTAAAAAAAAAAAATGTTTTTCCAACTAGGAAGGAAGGGGCCACCTGAACTTTCTCCCCCTTTCTGTCTCTCCTCCTTCCCCCTCTCCCTCCCTCTCTACAAACAAACGCTGGGTGGTGAACATCCCTGCACCCCCAGCAGGAACCCCTGACCAGCCTCCACCTCTTTGTCTCCAGCTTCCCACACCTGGTCCAGCCTGGCGATTCCTGGTTCTGGGAGCGAGCTAATCAATTAGGAAGGGGACAGGTTACCAAGCGGTGGCCACAGATCCCATCACCCCAATCTCCTGTTGCTCCTGGTTTTAGATAGAGTCATTCCTTTTTATGCATATAATTGAAGAGGTTAATAACAGCGGCTTTCAGGCCTGAATAATAATCCATTATCAGCACAACAAAGGAGAGATTTGGTTTTCTATAGTAATAGTTGTTCTGAGTTTCCTTTTTGCCCACATTAGGAACAAAGTGGAGTGTTTTTTTGGAATTTCAAAAGCACCAGCTTGCTAATATTCCCATCAAGTCTCTTTTTGGTTAAAGGATTAACACCACAGATAGTTCTGTCCTTGTCATCCAATTAACTTTGTCATTTACTGAATTCTGGTGTTCCCTAGTCAAAATGAAAGATCTTCCTCTGGTTATTATTAAGCCATAATGCTAATCTCCATTTCAACAACAATTAAATTTTACTCAAATTGTTTAAAAATTTTTAAGTGAAAAAAAAAAATAACATCAGGGACTGAATTGTCTTTAAAACAAATGACTGTTCTTAGATGTGAAGGTGTTGGTTGTAAAAGGCCATCTATATAATTTCCATGCTAACCTGTCATCCCCAAAGAAGAGCTCATTTAAATGCGAATGAAGCACCTGCCAAGGAGTCTCTTAACTACAGGAACAGTGGCCTCCTGCGTGCCCTTCTGCTCCTGGGGCCAGGCCACCCCCCAAGTGCAAGGTCAAACGGACCCCCGGACCCCTGATGAATGAACAAACCTGTGGTGAGGAGCAAGGAAAACAGACGGCCTCTTTGGGGACGGGCTGGTGGGGCTTTTCCCGGCTCCAGTGGGCGGCCTCCTGATACTTTAAATAAACTTTTATTGGAAGGTAGCCACAGCTTGCGTTCCCGTGTTGCCTGTGTTCACTCTCGTGCCGTCACTGTGACAGTTGAGCGGTTTTACCGGAGACCGCAGACCCCGCAAAATCTCGGCGAGCGGAAGAGAAACTCATGACATCATTCCACTCGGTTCTCAAGCTGCGGTTCGAATTCTTTCGTTACTTCTGTCTTAAAAATAAACAGATCCGCCCCGAAACACACCCACGCACACACACACACCCCGAACTGAGGTTTAGAGCATCCACTTAATAACGGAAAAGCAACAGGGCAGATCACTCTTCCCCCGTAATCTCCTGTGACAGCACCGACGTGCTTTGAGCCACTTGCTGCTCAGGGTGTCTCACGTCAGCCTGCATTTCTCTTTATTGACTCATTTTATCATACAAAACTGATACAAGCTTCTTATTAATCTGTCTCCAAAGGATCAAAACACTTTAATAAATATGTTAGTTCCTTTAGGTCTGGGAAGAAACGGAACAGTTCGTTAAATGTGCTATGACGGTGGGTGAAGGAGGCCTCTCGTTCCGTTCAACTCGAGAGCCGGCTAGATAAATCCAGGGTGTGGACGGAGTAAGCCCAGCACACGTTCTTAATGGCCAATTAGGGCCCACTTCCCTAAAGCAAATGCCTGAGAAAGATCTGGAAGTGGAATATGGGGGTTTCATTAGATGGCTGAATTCTCAACGGGGCTGTGTACCTTACGAGCGGTTATGGCAGAAACCCATCGCGGGAGGAAAATGTAATGGGAGAAGCAGAGAGAGAGAGAGAGAGAGAGGGACGAAGCCAGCTCAGTTTTCCCGGAAGGAGTGAAAACTCAAAAACGGGAAAGAGCCTTTCATCTGGTACCGGAACCATCTGGGGAGCTCATTAAAATGCGCCTTCCTGGACGGACCTGAGAGAGTCCAAGCCCTCTGCTGCTGACACTGCATCCTTGAGCTCCGCTCCCTCTCGTGCAGAACACCTGGACAGGTAACGTGCCCCACCAGGCACGCCTGTCCCCCTCTCGCTCACCCCCTGCCCTCAGCCTCACCCTCATGGCCCTAATGGGAGGCGGCCCTTCCCGCTGTTTGGGAGCCGTAGCCCTGCCTTCCAGATGACGCTCGGGGGTCCCCGTGGAAAGCCCGTGGGGGTAGAAGTTTCCGGAACCTGTGCCCATTGCTGCTTCGTGGAACGAGGCGGTGCTGGGTGAACCTACTCTGGCGGGAGCCATGACCCCATAGGGCGGTGTCGGCTCTGCCGCATATCCGTGGTTTACCCGAAGGTCTCCAGGGCTGCCTGATGCTTTGTTCTCCATGCTCACCCACCTTTGTCATGGGTCCTGCTCAGTCCACCTGCCATCCTGTCCCCTCTCTCTTCTTTTTTTTTTTTTAAAGATTTTATTTATTTATTTGAGACAGAGAGAGAGAGAGCACATGAGAGGGGTGAGGGTCAGAGGGAGAAGCAGACTCCCTGCTAAGCAGGGAGCCCGATGTGGGACTCGATCCCGGGACTCCAGGATCATGACCTGAGCCGAAGGCAGTCGCTTAACCAACTGAGCCACCCAGGCGCCCCCCTCTCTCTTCTTGTTATTGAAAGTAAACATCCGTGTGCGCACCTCCCCCTGCCCTCTGCGGAGCCCCTGGGATGCTCACGCCGCGGCAAGCAGACACCCGTGGAGCCCTGGTGTGCGTGGTCTCCCGGGGGACTGAGCTCTCCAGTCCCTTACAGGACAACAAAGACGACCCCCAGAGCCACATCTCCAGTGAGATCACACGGTTGTTTGGTAACCACACATGATGAGCTAAGGAAGACGTTCCCGGAAGAAATGTTAAAGGAGAGGCACATCGGGCCATATTTGGGATTTTCATGATTCAGAAGCGATGGCCCAATATCTGGACCCCAGGACGGTTCTGTTAGAGGCATCCTGTTTATTGGCCCCTATTTTGTCATGTACTGGAAAGTTGTATATCTTGTTCCTCGCTACCTCCACAATCACAACGTAAAACTCATCTTCAGGAGTTTCTTATTCATTTGTAGCTGTGAGAGGTTTTCCCTCTTTCTTTAGATTTGGCCCCTTGAAACATGAATCTACCCGCTCAGAAACTCCCACCGGAAGACATGACTCAGTGGGCCTCCACATGCATTCTGGCCCCTGAAAAGGTGATTCCTGCCTGAAGTCGGGGCCTCCGGAAGACAGACTGTGAGATGGAGTGGTCCTCGCAGGTTCACGGGGAGCAGACCTGAGGGTGAGGGAAGGGTCAGGAGCAGGTGCATACAGGAGGCCTTGCCGATGCCCAAGGGGGCGCTGGAGCTGGAAGGGCCCTTCTGAGTCAGCCAAACCCAGAGGTGGGAAGGCCGTCCCTGTGCACCCCGAGGATACGGCCCCGGGCTGCAGGCTGCCCGGGAAGGGGCGCAGCCCTGGGGGTTGCTCCTTGGGCAGAGGGAGTATCCCCCTGCAAATGGGGGGAGCAGGACCTTGCTGCTGACGCTGCATCCTTGAGTGTGGATGGTCTGCTCCTGACTGGAGGGTTGGGCCACACTCTGCCGCATCCCCCCATTGACCTTTCAAGGTCACAGATGCACTGCTGTCCTTTTTGTCTCAAAGCTCAGACTCTACAGAAATAAAGACATTGTCTTTCCTCCCCGAAAGTCAGATTTGTTCCCAAAAGCCAACCACATCCAGCCCCTTCTCCCCACCTTCGTCTGAGCCACGTGATCTGCCCCAGATGGGCTTCCCCCCGGAATTGTGTCCATGCTCTGTATGGTGGCGTGTTCGCCTCTCAGCGGTCAGACCAATGTCCTCCTCTTCTCGGGATGCTCCAGGGGCTGCTCCTCTTGCTGATGAGATCTGAAGTCCGAGCTGTGGTCCCGGGGTCGAGTGACCTGGCTGCCCACCAGCCCTCAGCCCCATACTGACGCTCTCCACTCCTCTGCCTGCGACGGTGGCCTCCTTCCCGGCCTTTGCACGCACTGTCCCCTCCCAGAGGCATCTTGCCCTCTCGCACCTCGGGCCTCTGCTTGCGGGGGTCCCTCCCGGATGCCCTGCACAGGGTGGCTCGTTGCTTTGTGGCATCACACCCTGGGGTGTGGCTCTTCCCGGCGTGCACCAGCTCCCCCGCATTCCGTCCTGCACGTACCCTGTGGTGCGGTCCGCCTTCTCAACACTAATGTGCAAACCCCGTGAGGACACTGGCTTCATCCTTCACGGGGACGAATCGACGAGTGTCAGCTCCTCGGACATAGGTGAGTTCTTGGCAGAGTGGCATCTGAGACACGCACGTCCAGTCTCCTTCTGAAGGCTCCCGAGTGAGCTTCGGCTCCTCCATCTTCGACAGCGAAGGCCTGCGGGCGGGCAAGTTGGCCTCCGGCACCAGGGAGCCCGCTTCGCCCTGCATGGCGGCATTTTGGGGTGCATTGGTTCTGAGGCTTTCACGTCCAGAGTTCTTTCCCCGCCCGGCCTCCGGCCATGGAGCTTGGGGACGGCTCAGCTAGGGGTGCACATGGATGAAGGAGGGGGGCAGAGTGCAGGGCCGCCCCGCATCTGGGGAGGCTGCTGGCACCAACCCCATCAGGTGGCAGGCGCGGCCTCCAGGCTGTCGGGTGCCCCCCCGCTGGTGGCCCAGCCCCTCCCCGCTCCCGGACGCGCCCACTGGTGCTGGTGTTACCTGGCGAGCCCTCCGCTCAGACCGCCCAGAAGACACACCTGGACAGCTCTTTGAAACACCCCTCTTGGAGTCTGGCACGGTACCGACTGGCCCCAGGACTCAGTGCTTCCTGGTGGCGTGGGGATTAGGGAAACTGCTCCTATGATATGCCCAAGAAATGGCCCTGAGAGCATGCGGGGTGCAGAGCGAGTCCGGCCCCTTTGGGGCTCCTGGTCCGGAGGGAGGACGGCATCTGGCGGCCGGCGGGGCTGAGGGACGGGGGAGGGGTCCAGCTCTCCCCGCAGCTCCAGCCTCCCCTCTTCAGGGTGGTCCTCAGGTTCCCCACTCGTTCCTTCAGCACCAGGCCCGGGCACCCGGGCACAGGGCAGGCCCGCCAGCCCACCCTGGCTTCTGCCCATTCACCCCACACGCCCCAGCTGTGGGTGTCCAGTCTGCTCGCAAGAGTCTCCTTGTCCCGAGCCTTTGCTTTCCCATTAACAGAGGCGAGAACGGACGCTCTTTTCCTGTGTCCCACATCACGTTTCTGGGAGGGAATGCAGCAACGCACACTGGCGTCCCCGACCCCGGCGCGTCTGGTCCAGGCGGGTGGGGTCTGCTGGGAGCACCGGGGCTGGGAGGCAGACTGGCCGCGGCCCCTGCGCTCTGTCCTGTGCGGATGTGCACCTGCGTCATCGGAAGCAGCAGATGGGATGTGCGCACGGAGGCACGGGTCCCTTGTTTGAGGACGCTGGCTTGACCGAGACGTGCGAGAGACAGAACGGGGTCGAGAGCACAGAGCCACGGCACAACGGCTCCGGATGTTGTGTAGGGGCTGCACCGCTCACCGCAGAGTGCACGCCCGGGGGGGAAGAGGAATGGAGGGGGACCGTGGGCGAAGAGGGAAGGGAGGGAGGGCAAGGAAGGCGTTCCCAGGCGGATGAAGATGATGTGCTGCAGCCCAAGAGTCTGATGAACTCAGAAGATGGAAGGACGGAGCTCACGGCAGACGGGGGTGTGTGAAAAGAGGGACAGAGGCTGCTCCATTCAAGACTTGCCCCCTCGCTCCAGGCCCAGGAGACGGGTGTCCTGTGTCAGGGTGACATGGGGCACCCCCACCACCCCACTCAACTGCGGCCACTCTTCCCGGGGATGTGCATGCACCTGCCCGGATTTCCCGCCCAGCCGTGAGCCCCCATGAGGCTGCTCATCTGCTGGGGATCCGCACGTACCGCACGCCCTCAGTAAACATTTGCCGAGTAGAGCAAAACTGGCAAAGGGACAGCGGAGCCTGAATCTCGTGTGCGCATTGACGGGGAACAGTATGGGGATTCAGTGCAAGGTCTCAACAAACAAACCCAAAAAAGCCGAAGGTAAACTGGGAAAGTCAGGGAAGCCCTATTCCTGAGTGTGCAGGGACAGAGCGGGCTTTGGGTAAAGTCTTGATGGCTTAACATGTCCAGGGCCCAGCCGACAGGTGTCAGGGAAGCCCTCAGGCCA